TTTTTCTCCCAAGGAGCAGCTGTTGGATTTGAACTGCTGACTTTGCTGTTAGCAGCCTAAGAGTAACCACAATGCCACCAGGGCTCATTTTCAGGGCCTAGAGCAGTGGTTCTCAACTTTCCTAATGCTGTGACCCTTTAATCCAGTTCCTCATGTAGTGGTGACCCCAACCATAAAATTATTTTCATTGCTACTTCATCACTGTCATTTTGCTACTGTTATGAATCAGTCAACCCCTGTGAGAGGGCTGTTCGACCCCCAGAGGGGTCGCAACCCACAGGTTGAAAACCACTGGTCTAGAGGCTCTGAGAGGGTAGTCAACACACCAGCCCTATTGTACGACTCCTCCTACCCCCACCCCCATACTATGTCTCAGTGTGTGTCCATGGGTACAGAGCCACAGAGATTCTAACTCAGACAACCTGTGCTACAGGCTGAGCTCCGATCCCCCTCTTATTCTAAGTGGGAACACTTGGAAAGCCCCAAATCCTACTCAGATGCCAAATGAATAGCACCTGGCTTCTCTTTTCTTTTTCCTCTCTGACCAATAAAGCCGGTATTGACTCTTCTCAAAAATCTCGAGAAAAAAAGTGTTGAGTCCTCTCAACCGTATATTCATTTTACCTTGCCTTCCCAGTCTCCCCATTCTGAATTCTTCCCACTCGCAAAAGGCGACCAGCAGCAGCCGTTTCCCACAGAGGGTGGGGTCAGATGAGACTGAGCGCTCAGGAACCTCATGGGCACCAAGCCAGCTCCGGCACTTCCCAGCCGTCTGTCAATAGGACAGTAATTTAAAGTTGGAACATGCACTTCCCTTCCCCTCAAGGGTGCTTTCACACAGGTGTTTGTTTATTTTGTTTTGACTATTGAACAGCTTATTAGACTCCTACTTGATAATGAATCAGATGGCAGAGAAAGGCTTCCTTCATCATGTGTCTTTCATCAAGAGTAGCCTAACGATGTGAGATAGGCTTTAAAGGTGACTGAATGTCAGAGTAGCATCTAAGAGTTAGAACACACAACACAGGGAGCCCGAAATGACACAGGCTGCTCTGTTTTTCTCTAACTTTCAAAGATGACGAAGCAGCAGACACAGCTCAGAGCCATGGGCAGGAATCCACTGCAGGCAGTTGTAAGTCACAGTGGTTACCCATAGCAATAGAAAGCCTTACACAGACTTGCGATAGTCTCTCCATGTGAAGGGACAAGTGCTGTAAAAAGCTTCGAGATGCTTTAATTTTCCCCTTGCAAACCACCCACCATTGTGCAGAAGGGCAGGGGATTTTACATCCAGTTACCTGAGCCCCACCTGGCAGCCTGATGATAAAGCATGAAATATCATTTGCTTACAGCTCTGCCAACCAGGGTAGGGCTGTGAAGGCCGGTGATATCTATGGTAATCAGCTCTCACCGCCGGGAGGCGTGCGCTCTCTCCTGCCTAAATTCGAGCCACAGAATTGGCAGAGGAAAACTCTCCCTGCAGTATCACTTAATGCCGGATCCCTATCGGCCGAAGACAACCATGGAAACTTACCAAGTCAAGGGCAGCTCACCACACGCTCCATGACACGCAGCCTGTCACCCACCCCTAAACAGCGTGACAGACAGTTTATGGAAGCATCAACTGTGAGGGCAAAACTTCGGGACAGCAACTACACTAGGCATCCCTGCCGGCTCGCGGATGCTTCAAACTCCCTGTTCTCCTTCCCGAGTGGCATGCTGATTTCTCAAATCAGTAATGAACTGGTGAATGAACAGGTGGGTGCAGGACTGTCCGCCACAAGCTCAGCAGTTCAAAACCACCAGCCGATCCACAGAAGAGGATCAATTTGGGTCAGAATCAACTTGATGGCAGTGAATGGCTAATTTCATCCCCTTAAAATTGGCCTATCTTTCATCCAGATGTGATTTTTTCCCCCTTTAATTAAAAGATCATGTTATTGGGGGCTCTTACAGCTCCTAAAACAATCCATACATCAATTGTATCAAGCACATTTGTACATATGTTGCCATCATCATTTTCTAAACATTTACTTTCTATTTGAGCCCTTGGTATCAGCTGCTCTTTTTTCCCTCCCTCCCCACTTCCCACCCTCGTGATAGTTTATACATTATACATTATAATTATAAATTATACAATATTATTCTTTTCATGTCTTACACTGACCGCTGTCTCCCTTCCCCCATGGTTTCTGTTGTTTGTCCCCCTAAGGAGGATGGGGGTCATGTGTCGATCATTGCAATCGGTTCCCCCTTCCTCCCTTCTGCCTCCCCCCTGTCTCCCCTCTTCCCCAGACCCTCTTGGTATCCCTACTCCCATTCCTGTTCCTGGATTCATGTGTCGTGAGCTCTTAGCTCTTATTTGTACCTGTGCACATGCTCTGGTTTAGCCCACCGTGGAAGGCAGTAGAAGGGTCATGATCGTGGGGGGCGAGGAAGCCTGAAGGAACCAGAGGAACTGTGTGTTTCATTGAAGCTCTACTGCACTCTGGTTGACTCATGCCTTCCTTGCGACCCGTCTATGAGGGCTTGTCCCATTGTCTACAATTTTGGTCTCTGCTCTGATCCTCATTCTCAACAATATGGGTTTTATTTGTTTGGGTTCTTCTGATGCCTGTTACCTGATCCCATCAACACCTCGTGATCGCACACGCTGGTGTGCTTCTTCCACGTGGGCTTGTTGCTTCTCAGCTAGATGGCCGCTTGTTTAACTTCAAGCCTTTAAGACCCCAGAAATTATATCTTTTGATAGCTGGAACCATCCACTTTCTTCACATTTGCTTATGCACCCATTATGTCTTCAGTGATTGTGCTGGGAGGGTGAGCATCACAGAATGCCAGGTTGTTAGAACAAAGTGTTCTTGCGTTGAGAGAGTATGTGAGTGGAGGCTCAAAGTCCATCCACTGCCTCAGTGTATTGCCATATACTTTTGAGATATTAACTGAGGGCTCTGGTTGTATAGAGGAGGTCTGCTGGCACTGTGGCTTAGGACAAGGTCAGCCAGTTCAAACCCACCACTCACCCCAAGGGAGAAAGAT